AATGTATACATGGGTCCTTGTTTTTTCATTCCATCCGAAGGACTAGACAGCTGTCCTTATCAGGCCTTCGTTCTGCACCACTGACAAGGGGAAATCACACCAGAGAATTCCAATGAACTTTCTTGGCCAATGCCAATTGATCAGATCTTTAACAATGTTGTAGTTTGCAAAGATTAAAATTCTCTTAGATACTTTATTTGAATTCTCATTAATAATAGCTCTCATAATACTGGTTTTAATTGTGGTTTGCTTCTTGTCTTAAAGTCACTTGGAAAATATTATATGTTGAAATATAAATAAATGAATTAAAATGTGAATTGTCTTGCTAGTGTCTTAATGAAAATATATACAGAAAATTTATTTTGGTTTTCAGGAATTTTTCTAATTAGCTTCTAACTGATTGTATGATAAGTAAAATTTTTAATTTTATGTGACAGAAATAAAATTGGAGTATTTTTGGCAACCACCTCAAAATGTAAACAGTATTGATGTATACATTAACTTTAAAAAAGATAAAATGGCTTTCATACTGACATTGTTATAAACAAATTTTTTTAAAGGCGTCTCTACTTTTCAAATATTCCAATTGGAATTAACTACCCGATAAATACTTTCAAGAGAATGTATCTTTAACAAATTTTGGGAACGACTTTCAATTCAAGTTATATAATCTTCTGTTTGATAACACTTGACTGGTTTGTTCAAATAACTTTGATCAATGTTTGATCCAGGTGACCCTCAGTTTACATGTTACAGACATGTAGTTTAAACTGAATACACATTGTTTAGCCATGTGTTTAATGAAAAGTAAATGTTTATGTTGATTTATGGTGGTTCTATATAATATTGTTTACAAGACTTGTCGTATTTAATGTAATCAACACCCACCTGTTGCTGGGGCTTTCTTCAAACTTTAGTAAACGCTACAATCTGATTAAAATACAGATCTATATTTCGTTTCGGGGTTTGGTTTTTTTTTAATACTTTCTATGACCTCTACTACATGAAGATCTGACTAGTTATAGTGGGAGGTTGTGTCAGGGGATATACGATCTGCTTTTGATGACATCAGACATTTGATTAACCGATCAGCGTTGATATTTCTAGTAGGATACCCCCAGTTCTGTGCATCACAAGCCAAGTACTCGCTGCACCAGACGATTTCATAGGCTAATCCCTTAAATAAACCAGAACGCGGGTTATACAACAACTCTTCCATATCCTAGTGTAGTGAAGACAAGTAAAACCTAATTTTGAACTATAAAAAACAAAACGAAATAGGATCTGTGTTTTAATCTGTGTTTCTGAGTTCATTAATTAGATGAGGATATCATTAATTTGCTAATTTTCAATTTTCGAGTAGGTTGCAATGATTTGAACAATATTAAAAATATTTTTTGAGGTCTACTCATGTAAACTTCAAATGACTGGCTGCGATCTGTTGCAAAAAATGAATGATGTTAAAGGCTCAATACCACTCTTGTTGTAACTGAATAATATGTCCCAATCTTTATTCTGGTCAACAAATTGTACTATTTTAGAATATTTCAATTAATTGATGATACAAATTTCATCTTAACACACCTTATTTAAAAAAATTTGAAAAATTCAACATAATGGTTTGAAACGTCTAACGTAAACCTTTTCAAATGAAACTTTGATTTAGAAATATTTTCGAACCCTCTCGACAAGTAAAATAGGATGTAATGGATAATTTACACAACAGGTAGGACACTTAAACATCTAGTACTTAGATAGAGATATTATTTATTTTCTGGAGCTTTCAAGCCAGCAAGTGTGTTATTGTCCCTTTGAGGACAGGGATATTGAAATGCTCTCTCTGTACGTCCTGGTTTTGTATCTGGATCATGTCTCAAGCACCATAAGAGAAAGAGAAAGAGAGAGAGAGAGAGAGAGAGAGGGAGAGGGAGGGAGAGAGTTTAAACGTTCACTCAACACAAACTAGGTCATTTCGGGACTAACACATGGTTCAATTTTATTTCAATAATTCGATTGCACGTAGGGGTCTTTAGCAGTGGGAGGAAAACAGAGGAAATGGAGAAAACCCACAAGGTTAGACAGGCAACTCTACTCCTTGTCATGTAGAAGCCGGGAATAAAACCACGCCAGTTGACTCAATGACAGACCTTATGATAATACAACCTGCACCCACTAACCATTTGGCCATCCAATCCCCCAAGATAACATCAAGTCTAGTTGTAAAGGATTTAGAATTGTTTATTGCTCTGTTCTAGAGTACCAATAAATCAAGATATCTAACTTATAAAGTAGATGGGTCAGACAGTTGGAATGTGTATCTAATTGTATTGGCTCTGCTATTGGTTACTATATTGTTTGTTTTGTTCTTGTTTTGTTGTACAGTTGCCAGAGCTATACAAATATTTACAGAGAGAGAGAGAGAGAGAGAGAGAGAGAGAGAGAGAGAGGTAACTTCGGGACTAACATAAGGTACATTTTTATTTCAATAGTTCACTTGCTTATGGGCATCATTAGCAGGGGGAGGAAACTAGACTACCGGATAAAACCAACAAGTTTAGGCTGCTCGACAACCATAATACTTGTCAGTACATGTGTGGGTTCAAAACCACGCCACCCGACTCAATCTAAAGCGCCTACGTTAGACCACTTAACACCCACCCACTCTCAATTGTATACAAGATCTATATTATAGATCTACCAGGTGTAGTAGTGTCTACTATTTGTCGATGGTCAGATGAGATCCAATCTACATAATAACACTAGTAGAATCTATATCAACAGTGGTCAGCTACCATAATTAAATCAGATCAATTAACAAGTTGATAGATGGTGGTTATAACTAAATTATATCAAAGGTCACTCATAAGACCGTACTAGCCCCTGGAGAAATTAAATGGTTATTTTAGGAAATCTTGAATTATATCATCGGTAATCATATAGGGTGTGAAGTAGCTAGGCACCGCTCAAACGATTAATGAAAGAGATTAAATTTGATCTTCAATATATATATATAGTTTATTGTTTTCCATCAATTTTTGTTTTGAAATATTAAGCGACAGTCAACTTGCTTACTATTTTTAGTTCTATTTATGGCTTACTGTGTTAATATAATTTGTTTCTATGAAAGACCAAAATCATAAAAACAAATGAACTCCTAAAATCCAATGAAATCAATAATTTTAAGTCCTTTTTTTTTTTTTTTTTTTTTTTTTAAGGAAAAGGATTTGGAAGCTGGTCTAACTGTCCAAATCAGACTGATCTCGAAATGAAAACACTCCAACAAGGGAGAGAATCCATGCAAACGGGATAATTTCCTAAACAATGTATTATTCTAAGGTATCTCATGATTGACTGTGTGTTGCGCATAGGCGTCTTAAGCAGTGGGAGGAAACCCGAGGACCCGGAGAAAACCCAGGAGGTTGCACAGGCAATCCTATTCCTTGTCCTGTAGAAGCCAAAAATCTAAACCATACCACTTGACTCAATGACAGACCTGATGATCAAACAAGCACTCGTTAAACCATTCAGCCACCCAACCCTAAACTCTCCAACAGTTCAGAACTGTTCAATTTATAGAAATAAGGCAAGATGCCAAGTCCAAAACAAAGACATTTTGCGAGTAATCAATAAGATTCAAAATGTTACAAGTGTTTAAAAAATACATGAAGATATATTACACCATAAACTTTCCCTTCTCAAGTACGATGTGTCACGGTGGCTAAGTGGGTAAGACGCTGGCTCACTAGCCAGGAGGTCGGGTGTTCGATCCCTGCTTTGGTTGAGAAAGTTCACCCAGATTTTCTGGTGTGGTTCCCCCTTGTCAGTGATGCAGGACGAAAGGCCTTACCGGGACAGCTGTCTAGTCATTTGGATGGGATGAAAAACCGAGGTCCTGCGTAAAAGATCCCTTGACAGTTGGAATTCGATGCAAGAGTTGGCCATAGTGCCACTGTCCGACAAAATTTCCCTCATAGCACACTGTATGGCGTATGCCCGTCTTCATAAGCCCAGTTCGGAGCAGAACAGTAGGACGTTCCTGTCTTCATTAGCCCAGTTTCACTTTCACTTTCTACACAATATGTAATACAATAGCTTGTGGTAATCAGTAAAAGAAATAGAAATTCCTAGCATCTTACAGTAATCAGATAGAAATGGTTGAATAAAAACAAATCTGATACTGTATTCATTCAAAGAATTACAATCTAATTTGTTTCAGTTTCTAACCTAATTAGAGTCTGGATCTGAAACACTCTAACAACAGAGTGATGGAATATAATCAACGTTCATCACCTTATAGATTTATAAAATGTAGCCAGCAATATGTTGACTTGTTGCTATTTTTGTTAACTTTGGGTAACCATGGTATATTTGCGTCCAATGACCAGAGTTTTGATCAAAGAAAAAGAATGGATTTTATTGTCTAATTAGCACAATACTTCGGTATTTAGAAACAAACATACGTTGTTTTTTATTTTTTTATTTTTCAAGGGCCATGTGTGCAATGTCAGAAAGGAGAATTTTGCCCAGACAGCATGATCTATGTGGTTATTTACGGCATGTTTGATTGACTACGGATGCTAGCGATATAAATCTATGTTGATGTAAAATAACATGTAATGTCATAATCATATGTTAACTAATATATTATTAAGTGCAGGGAGACTGCACCACACATAATTTACACAAAACGAATCTACGGACAAGACACAATATGTATAAATCACAAACAAACGTACAAATCAAAATAAGTGAATGGATCCGAGAGCTAGCCATAAGCGTCCAATGTGCTGTTCAGTCCCGGCCTGTAGTGGTACAGACTTTACTCAAAATTGAAAACAAATAATCAGGAATACAACCCAGAGAAAACAATTGTGTGATACCAGTACGAGTCTGCTATATGCCACATTCAACCCTCTCCTGAATACAAAATTCTTTTTGAGTGGCACTGAAATAGATCACTATTAGCCAGCTCGCCCTGGCTGTAGTGTAATTTTACTTACGTTTTTTAGGGCTTTTACTGCCTCTTCACAGACCTGCATACCACGGGAATCAAAAACCTCAATACATCCTAGATACTGAAAAACAAGACAAAAAATAATTCATAAATAAGCCTCGTCAATTTCATGAACAAACTTTCAGAGGGTAGTTTATTGAGTCAAGTGTACTAGAAATAATTGTTCTGGAGCAGAGAAAGAGAGAAAGAGAGAGAGAGAGAGAGAGAGAGAGAGAGGAAAGTTTAATGTCCACTCCACACAAACTAGGTCATTTCGGGACTAACATATGGTTCAATTTTTATTTCAATAATGTGAAATATCGGTAATGATTATAACAGTAAACGCTAGAGTTTACCCAGTTACTGGAGCTCGCAGGTGTAACTGGGACACATATGGTACTTATGTGTTTCACAATGTGCTGTAGAAGGGTGCGCCTGAACCGTGCGGTTTTAATTTTTTATAGGAACACCTCTGACAAACTCACCCTGCGCTTTATCTATGCATGCGCCTAATACACCGAAGAATATGGCACATGGCTCAAATTTCAAACAATATATCAATGCATGCCACTGAAAACGTTAATTTCTCTTTTCAAAAATGCAAATTATTGTCTAGCACATTCACATTTACATATGGAAAAAAGATTTAATATTGGATGGTACTGAACTATTATGTGAAGGGGGGTGGGGGTGTTTAAATTTAAAGTATAAGAACAGGAGCTTAATACAAGATCCCATCCCACATATTCAGTACACTTTTCTAACTGAAACTGATTATTCACTTTAAAAGATTTTTTTTTACACCAAGACATTTGTAAATGTTTGCCCCAATTCAGCTAATTTAATTTAATTTGACTAATCTAAGGTTGGTGATCTTTCATACCAGAAAAGAAAAAACATGTTCTCATTAAAATTACATTATACTGGGTGTCAGACTTGTAATGACGCCATTTTTCTTGTCAGCAACAGGATGATGCGATATTGGTGAATCAATATCACAGCTCCACGTTATTACAATAAAATATAAGCTTACAGCGACGTGGTTATGAATACTTAACGAGTAATACCAACACGAACAAGCTCACGGAACCATCGAAGGTTGTAAAACGGCCATCAATATTAATGTTGCTGGGTGCAGTTATACAACAAAATCACACATCAAACGAGTCATCATATTACACACAACCTGATACCAATTTACATTTCATTAATCTTCTGACAGAGAGGATTCACACTCCACTCAAGTGTACATCATTTTTTACCTGAGAGGAATTTCGCTTGAATTAAAATAGGTGACAATATTATGACTAAGCTTATACATTTGATTTGATTAGTTTCTCCAGTAGATCTTATCATTCCACTTACAAATTCAAAACCAGATAAAAAAAATTTTTTTTACGGAGGCTCAAAGCTCTGACTTTTTCTGATGACAATTTGGGTTAAGTCATTTTTGGATATTTTTTTGTGATTCTCTATTTCGTTACTTACTACATCTATCGAAAATATAAATCAGGAGTGACACTGACACCTGTGACCTAATCAAAATAACTTTTTTACAAGAGAGGAATTTTGCTTTAATTAGTATAATTTTTGTTTATTCAAGCAGAACTCATCTTTCAAGTTTGTTTCTGTGTAACATATTTTTTCTTTCAATTTTTTCTCTTGCCCTAATACACAAATTGATTTTCTTTTGTAAATTTGTTTTACTACAAACTGAAAGATCTAGAATGTTATGGTGAAATCATTTGTGATACCCAGGGAGACGGGAGGTAGACAACAAATGAAATGAAATGAAATGAAATGGGGTTTAACGTCCTACTGTTCTGCTCCTATACTAGGCTAATGAAGACGGGCATACGCCATACAGTGTGCTATGAGGGAAACTTTGCCCGGGCAGCGGCACCATCGCCTACTCTTATATCGAATTCCAACTGCCAAGGGATCTTTTACCTGCATTCAAATGTATACACGGGACCTCGGTTTTTCGTTTCATCCGAAGGACTAGACAGCTGTCCTTGTCAGGCCCTCTGTCCTGCATCACTGACAAGGGGGAAGAACGCCGGGAAATCAGGATGAACTTTCTCGGCCAATGCAGGGATCGAACACCCGACCTCCAGGCTAGCGATCTAGCGTCTTACCCACTTAGCCACGTGATCCCCAGGTAGACAACAATGAGGTACACTATGGGCATCTATTCTGAAACTATTGGTCCCTAACATAAATCTACATGTATTGTCATTATACCAACTAAGAAACTAAATAAAATTTGTTCTAGTCACCAATACTATGGTTGAGTGAAAGAGAACTTTGGGGTATAGGTATTTATATTTATTAAGAAACTATATTGTGGTCTTTAAGACAATGTACTGTTATTATATCAACAAAGAAACTAATGAAATTTAAGGAGTGTCAGCGAGGGGGATGGGAGCAAGGATATCATTTCAGAAACTATTGGTTCCTAACATAAATCTAAATATGTACTGCTATTATACCAACTAAGAAACTAATGAAATTTGGTTAGTCGCAGTCTGACGGATAGTTTCTCTCGACACCATTAAATTACATTAACACAGAAGCATAAAACTAGAGTTTAGTACCAAACCAATATATAATAAACCATTAGTACTTGCTGGTTGATTAGCTACTACCATCAGAAGATGTTCTTTTCTTCTGTTAAACTATTTACTTCTACTAGCTGAAAATATGGCTGATTGCTTCTGGTGGTTCTCAATCATTCGTGTGAGATATTTGGTAGAAATGGAGATTTTTATTGACAAGTGAAGTAACCTATTATTGAATAGTCTGGAGTATATATATATGTACACAATGAAGCCGTCCTAAGATATATTGGTTAAATTCAGCGTGAAAGCTCTTAAGAATCTAAAGCTCTATATGTATGAGTGGTGACCATTGTTTTCATTACACACTACATTTTCGTCTGGATAGAACATGTCTACAGGCCAAATATTGGGAAATGTATCAGATAGTCAGTGGAGTAAAAAAAAATAAAAATAAATAAATCTATGTCTACAGGCCACACCTTAAAGACTATCCATGATATTTAGCCTTATAGAATTCATTGTAAACCACGACATCGTGAAAGTTGAATCTTTAAGGGGGGAAGCTATCCGAAAATCTTTATTCTGAACTGTTAAAGCTATTGAATTGAAAATAGTACAAGTAGTTGGAAATGTAATAAAGAAGGGAAAACTAAAATTGAAACAAAAGTTGTTGCCAGGGTAACTCATTTTGGGGGGAAAAAATAATGGAAAGTGTAGGTACACTATTAAGATATTTTCACCAAATCTAAGAACAAATTTTTCGGGTAGCCTCACCCCTTAATAGTATCAGTCCAAATATTGTTCAATTCCATTCAGTATTTACTGTACAAAGATATGACAGATTGAAAATTCCATCAATTTATGCTGCTCAGTAAGTGACAAGACCTCCTGTTGATGTGCCTGTTTTAAATAGCGTTTGTATTTTTATTAAGTTTACTTAATTAAAAAATCAATCCGAGTGTGGATTAAGCTGTGAGAAATTTCATACTTTCCAAAAAATGCTAAACATATATCGTTTATAATACTTAAAGAAAGGTCACTCCTACCCCGCCCCCCAAGAACTTCAACAGTATTACATTATTTCAACTGTCTACATGCCACACCTTAAGAAAGGTGCCGAATGTCCCCAGGACTGATCGTCCAAATTCGTGACATTTCAATTGTCAGCCGATTATGATCAGAACAGAATTAGGTAGATCTGACACCAATCTTTCATTCTTTTATAAGTTCAATATGTTTCCATCGTCTGTCGTTAGTGTCGTTTGACGATACAGGAATCTAAATACATTGTAAGAAGATTGTATAAAAAGACGATTAACTTTTGAGTCGGCTTGCAGGGATTTATCACCAATATCTGTAGATGGGCCAAGACTGAAGACTTAGATAACACGCAACCCAGAGTGAAGACATGAAATCTCCACGTTATAGAGGAAATCTGATTACCTTTTTCCTCTCTACAAGAATAATACTATCAATTCCGCGTATTTGGGTTCAATAAATGAGCAATTCAATTTTATTCAATCTTTGTCCAAAATGAAAACGTTACTATCAAACTTGAGTTCAACACATTCCTTTAGAAATCGAAGTAAAAACCACACTCAAGTTAAATAAATGAACAATTCAAATCTGTTCTTATCGAACAGCCCAAAATTAAAATGGTTCTATTGTCCGGCAATTACAATTTTAGACTCACATCCCCTTGAAATATGAGTAAAAATGATACTCAATTCAAAAAGTTGAATCATTGAACAAGTCAAGTGAGCCTATCCTTGGAAATCGAAAATGATACCCTTTGATGAAAACAGCACTATCAAATTTTGAGTTCAATACATTCTAGTGTATGGCTATGAAATATCGTTCGACAATTACAATTCTACACTTATATTCACTTGAAATAAAGAGTAAAACGACACTCAATTACAAAACTTAGAGTGAAATAAATGAACAATTTAAGTCTTTCTTTTCTCAGATCCCCTAGAAAGACGAAAACGATACTATTAATTCTACATGATATATAGTTAACTTAATGAAATGAAATGGGGTTTAACGTCCTACTGAGCTAAGGAAGACGGTTTTAAATTAATGAAATGAAATGAAATTGTGTTTAACGTCCTACTGGGCTAATGAAGACGGAATTAACTTAATGAACAATTCAACAAGTTTATTATTGGATCCCCTGAGAAGTAAGGAAACAAAACATGTAAGATCAATTCAACAAGTTAGGCCACACAAAAAAATATTCTGGATATCAGACAATCCTTTCAAAAAAATTAATGTGGGAGGGCGTTTTTTTTTTTTTTTTTTTTTTTTATTTTGTCAAAACCTAGCTTGTTTTTCATCTATCTACATTAACTCCTTGGAAAATACTTTCAAATCCGGTGGATTTTATTTTGGCAACCATTAGATCTACTTGATATCGATATCGTACTCATTGTTAAAGCATGGATTTCGCTGGCAATTTAAATCGAAGTCTGCAGCCTCAATCTACCCTTGGAGAATATCCCATATCATCTCTCTCGCAGTCATATTTCTCGGGGAAAGATAAGGCGTTTTGATCGTAAAACAGACAGATGACAACAAAAGTGTTGCCATCTTTATTTGGTTATCCACTGCCGTTTGTGGTTGTCAATAGTGTTTCTCATGGTTACGTACTTGATAGTCGAGTCTAGTCTTCATTTCCTGTTATCAAGAAACCTTCAATAGAGTTGCTTCCCTTGATCTTGGGAAATATGAACAAGCAGAAATTACTTTATTTTATTATAAATTTTGATGACAAGGCGGTATTGGGACTGGGAGGAAACTGGAGGACCCTGAAAAACCGAGAAAGCCAATGAGATTGAACAGGCAACCCCACTCCTTGTCATGCAAAGGTTATCGAAACTACGCCACTTGACTCAATGACAAGACCTTATGATTTAAAGCGCACACATTAAATCATTTGGCCACCATAATTCCGCATGAAGTAAGAAATGAAATATTTAATTCTAGTCTTCGATCTGCATGAATCACAATTAAAAAACATACACTTAATTCGAAAAGTCCATGAGTTCGATAAATGAAAAATCCATGTCAATTCCGGGATCATTGTGAAGTAAGAAAATAATACTATCAATTTCAAAAGATAAGAGTTCAATAAATGAACAATTCAATTCTATTCTTAGCCCCTATTGAAATACGACAGCACTTATCAATCCCACAAGTTCAATAATCAATGCTATTCTTGGATCCCCTTTGGCTTGAAGTATGAAAACATCTTGAGCAAAGAAATATCCATTCCTATATAATATGTACTTTAAATTTAATACCTTAAGAGTATAATATTTGATAAGTATTGAGTAAGTATTGTATTTGGATAGTCTTGTATTTAATAAAAGGTCCATTGATTATTTTCAGTTGTTACAGTTTGTTAGAGATCCAATTATGTCTCTGAGAAGAGGGGGAGGGGAGAAGGAAGGGAGGGAGGCAGGAAATGTATGTATCCACATAACTTTTTTTCTTAAGAGTTTACAATTGTTCTAGATGTTAAAACTATAACACACATTTAAGCAAGACAATTACCGGTACTATATGGCTGACATTTCAGAGTATTCTCTCAACGTTTTAAAGCAAGCACTAAATCCTCTAGAAGAATCTTGTTGTTGTCCTGCATGATTTCTGATTTGTTGTAACTGACCTTCACATTTGTTACTGTAGTTGCATGAAAATGAATTCGGAGCCACGGTGGCTAGGTGGGTAAGACGCTGGCTCTCTAGCCTGGTGGTCGGGTGTTCGATCTCTGCATTGGCCGAGAAAGTTCATCCCGATTTTCCGACATGGTTTCCCCTTGTCAGAGATGCAGGACGGAGGGCCTGACAAGGACAGCTGTCTAGTCCTTCGGATGAGACGAAAAACCGAAGTCCTGTGTAAACATTGGAATGCCCGTAAAAGATCCTTTGGCAGTTGGAATTCGATATAAGAGTAGGCGATAGTGCCACTGCCCGGGAAAATTTCCCTCATAGCACACTTTATGGCGTATGCCCGTCTTCATTAGCCCAGTATAGGAGCAGAACAGTAGGACATTAAACCCCATTTCATTTCATTTCATTTTGAAAATAAATTAGTAATTGTTCTTCAAAAGTATGAGTTATAGTTTATTTCTCTATACAGTTACTAAATGCCTCTGAAGGATTGTCCTAAAGGAAAAGTACTCACAGTTGCTACCAACCTGATCCCCAAATTAACTATCATTTTATAGCATAAAATAATTAAATATCCACTTACTCGGACTTGGAAACTACATGTTCCCTCTCGAACTTTCTTTTCATCTTCTTGCCATTGATGAGGTTTTGAACATTCTGGTACATGGTCTTTCTTTTTCCGAAAACTCAACCTTCTCTTTAGGCTTTGCATGATATTATTGACGTAGAATCTCCTGAAAAATACAAGAGGAATATCGTAAGTTGAGCGAATCTTTCGCAATCCCATTGATCAAGCAGACGTTAAGATTACGGAAGGAGTCTGGAGAGAAAATGAACAATAAATTTATTGCTGGTGAGTAATTAGGTTTGTACGGAGCAGACGACTTGTAGTTAAGGGGTCAGATGAAATGAGAAAAAAGAAACGCCAAAAAGACAGAAACAGACAATGAACGGTGGAATAACAATTTGATTGCGTCTGATTAGCTTTATATACGATCATTCAGACTTAATGTTATTCATCAGATTTGGTAATTAATAGTCTTACCCTAATAGTACTTAATCTACGATTACTATAAACTTACATTCACATCAATCACATCCAGACAAAAACAACCTGTTTCTAAATTTAAGTTGTATTAATATTGAGATATAGTTCAGGAAATTGTGACAATCAACCTGTTATTCACAATGACAAAGGAAAAAGATGATCCGACCCCTCTTCATACGACAGCAAATTTTAGACGAATGCTAAATCGGAGACGGTATTGCACATTTTACTAATTTTAGCACATTTGGATTGCGGGTTAGGGTAACGGTTTGGACATACAGATTTCGTCAAAGTCTCGAGATGTAAACAGGGCTAGCACTAACCCTAACCCTGGACCAAGCCTAACCCTTACCCACAATCAACATATGATGTCGGATGTGCAGGACCATCTTCAATCTAGCGTTTTCACAAATTTTTACACTGTGTTTTAAAGTGTCATTTTTACATAGAACCTTTTTTATGTCTCCTTTTTACCTTTTTTATGTCTCCTTCATTATGTAAATGGGGGATCACCGTAGCTAAGTGGGTAAGATCCCTTGACAGTTAGAATTCGACATAAGAGTAGGTCGTAGTGCTGCTGTCCGGGCAAAGTTTCCCTTAGGGCGTATGCCGTCTTCATTAGCCCAGTTAGGAGCAGAACAGTAGGACGTTAAACCTCATTTCATTTCATATGTAAATATTCTTAATAAAATCAACCTGTCCATAATATCATAATTAATATTACTGAGATTTAGTTCGAGAAGTTGCGACAAATAATCCATTTGTGTTCACCATCCCAATAATTACAACCAGACACGACACAATCTAATCAGTGTAAAAATGTCATTTATTAAATGACGATAAGATCATACATAAACGCATACATGAATTTTCAATAACAATAAAATATAACAGAATTGTTGTGCTAAATAATCCGTCAAAAATTTGTGATAAAAGAGACCGGACTGGGATGCAATCAGTTTGGGATACTTGGTCTTTTTTTTTCAATGTGAACAGAAAAGTTTGGGTTTTGATTAAAAAGCTTCAGGGTAAATTGTAGGATTAATTCAAGGTTTTTCAGGAAATGTCTTTAATCCAATATGAACGAAAACACCATTATAGTAATAATAGGCCACCGGTCTGAAATTCCCTTCACAATCACAGACTACCAGTCGTTTTTTTTATATGCCCTTCAGACGCTTAAAGGAACTTTGTCATCTCAACGTAAAGGTGTTGCAAAAAAATCAGTTAAAAAACAGAAAAAAAAACCCCGAGCTTGCTACCTGTATTTCAGAAGGCATATGTTTTCTAAGTTCGCTTATCTTGCTGACTTAAGTTAAATTGCAGGTAAATGTACGTAAACACAGCCATAAAGGACCAGAGGCAGACAGGTCGTAAAATCTATCTGGTCAAATCAAGCTATATTCTTTCTCCTTAAAGATATATTCCCTTCATCAAAATATTAGAAGTATAATTCCAATGACTCAACTTACATACTAAAAAATAACTATAATAAGCACATACTAAAAAATTACTATAATAAGCGCATAACAAATGGAATAAGTTAATTATTACACACTGTCAACCATTGTTTGGTCATTGGTATATCACTATTATCAGTGTCTTTGTACTCATTCATTCATCTTACAATTGAAGTGACCGTAATACAACAGATTATTTAATGTGTGACAAAAATCTCTATGATCATAAAGTCCAGATCAACCTCAATAAGTTTCCTTTTAACAATGTTCGACAAACATCTATATGATCATAAATTTTGAATGAGGTTTAACGTCTTACTCTGACTGGGCTAATGAAGATGGGCATACACCAAACAGTGTGCTATGTGGGAATTTTGCCCAGACAGAGGGGCTACAACCTACTCTTATTTCGAATTCCAACTATCATGGGTTCTTTAACGTGCACGCCAATGGGACCTTGTTTTTTTGTTCCATCTGAATGACTAGACAGCTGTCTTTACCAGACTCTCCGTCCTACACCACAGACAAGGGGGAACCACGACGAACACGTGACCTCTGGGTTAGTGAGCCTACGTCTTACTCACTGGTGCACAATATGTTTAACTTTACAAACACCTCCAAGATTACAAGGTCGGAATCAACTACAGTACAACCAATTTACAAGTGTTTCTACAAAAGCAAAATTTGAGGGTGCAATTAATGACCTAAATAACCTGAGAGGAATACATCTTTAACAATCATATCCTATACAAAAGTCCATTTACTGGGTAACCTAATCAATGCTATGTAATGGTTAAATAATGAACTAGAATTAATAAGCTAGGATAGCTTCTAAATCTATTCTGTGATGTACTAATCTCTGATCATTAGTTCCTACATCAGTCATTAGAGACATACTGTTGTTAGAAAAGCTATTCATTCTGATTCGATACAGGTAGCCATGGTGATAGATACTTTCACAGAAAGCTTACTGTTTTCAAGTAAAATGAGATTTTAAAAATGACCAAGAACAGGAAAAAAGATTTTCATTACTTCATTCTATCTCCATTAAATCTTGTATCTTTCCTTAATTAGTTTTATCTAATTTTACATGAATTAAATTTGAAAACTGTGTGATTGAAATATGAGTCTAAATCTGTACAGTAAAAATAATTTTATTTAAACATACAAGAGCTAAATCTGCCTATTGCCGGTCTTTCTTTAGGCCTGAAATGTTATCTAAATTATTAATTAGACATTAATTAACTTATCCAGACCATAATCAACTCTCGATGGCATCGTTAGCTTGCGATATTTAATGGATTATAATCCCATTTGCTGGTCGACTTCCATTCATAATTTATAGTACAGACTTTAGTAATGATGATCGAGGCTAGGCCCAAATTTCAATTGCTTAATTCTCGGCTCATAGTGGATCAATTTGACTGTAATTTTCAGCAAATTACCTTTACATTATCTAGTTTTTAACTATTATAATGAAAACTGCCAGCTCTTTATCTTATCTCCCATTGCCATAATGTATCTTTAAATTCTATATCTCTACTTAATTAATTTTATCTAATTTTGCATGAAATGAAAATTGTGTGATGGAAATATGAGTCTAAATCTGTGTAGTAGAATAATATTATTTAATTTTGCATGAATTGACAATTGTGTGATGGAAATATGAATCTAAATAATACATTTCAGGTAGATTAATTTCATTCAGAGTCAGCATGATATATCATATATGTATGTAAAGATTACTGCTATATAATTAAGAAACCCTAAGTATTAAAACAAACACCATAAATAATGGGCTGGTTTGTGCCATTCTAAGTGAAATGAAATTGGATTTAACGTCCTACTGTTCTGCTCCTACTGAGCTAATGAAGATGGGCATAAGCCATACAGTGTGCTATGAAGGAAATTTTGCCCAGGCAGTGGCACTATGGCCTACTCTTACATCGAATTCCAACTGCCAAGGGATCTTTTACATCCCCTGTTTTTCGTACCATCCGAACAATTAGACAGCTGTCCTTGTCAGGCGCCATTTTAAGATCTAGGAATCACTTGGAAACTACAATATTGTGAAATTTGAATTTCTAATAGGAATATCAGTTCAAAAATGGTTCACTTCTGTTCAGTATTTACAAAGATATGTGGAATTGAAATTTTCTTAGTTTTACATGTATGCTGTTGACTATGCAATAAATCTGCTGTCATTTTGTTCTCCACAGAAATTAAATTCGATAGAATCTAACCCGGGACATTTTGGAATATAGATTTATATTTCAAGGTACAAGCCAGAGACAAAAAAAAAGTGCACAGTTTTAACAGTGGCTCGGTGAATGAGCACTGGTTCCATAATTAGAAACCAATGTAAACTTCAAATGGACATAACTTACGTTAGAATTGATCAATTTAAATAATTTTTGTACCAGTAACAGAATCTTTTTTGATAATACAATGTGGTACTATTGATAATGTATTGTTTTAAATAGAGAGAGACAAGAAATGAGGTGTAACGTCCACTCGACACAAATGAGGGTCATTTTGGGACTAACATATGGTTCAATTTTATTTCCATAATTCGCTTGCCCATAGGGATCTTTAGCAGTGGGACTGGGAGGAAACCGGAGGACCCGGAGAAATCCCACGAGGTTGGAGAGGCAACCCTACTCCTTTTCACGGTATTGTTTTAAATACGTTTTCTATGATACCATTTACGAATATACATAAGTATGAAGTAAGAATGTCGAAAAACACCAGGATTTTATGGAGGGTGATTTTTTTGTGTACCTGTATCGGAAATTAAATGCCAAATCAATATATTCTAATAGAAACTGAATATTTATTGTTGATCTCAGCTAGGATAACTGTAATTATATCATTTAAAGGGAGATATATTGCGATAGTATTGTGACTACTAAATTTTTATCGTTTTGTTTTGACGTGGTGAAATAGGTGAGCTTATTTATATTCATAACCTACATGTATATGTTGTAGGTAAAATGTTATTATACAATGAATAGATACTAGTTTGTTTGTGGCAATCAGAGCAGAACAACGTTTATTTATTATCCAAGATAATTTTTTTTGCGTACTTTAAACTGTGGGAAAATATAAATAATGTCTATATCGTATAAACATCAGATACATGTATATTTTATGCACAAGTAAGACAGCAGAATTTGACATTAAACAAAACTGCAAGCCAATCCCAGAAATTATTCTTAAATGTATT